ATAAAATGTAATTTTGAATAGGATTGTTATTAGAAAGGAAAAAAAGAAATAGTAAAATCATTATAGTTTATATTTAAATAATAATTGTAGTTCATTGTCAGACATGCCACATGCAATATGGTAGCAACAAGTTAATCTTTCTTTATATGTCATTGACTGCATCAAAGGTAAAAACATTGTAGGGATAAAATAATATATTAAACATAAACATCGTATTAGTTATTCCTGGCATTTCCAAACAATTTGTCTGACCTTTAAAAGTCTTTCAAGACAAAGTATCAAATATAATGGCATAATCGATAAAAACACGATCACACACCTTACTGTTAGGAAAAGTGATAAAATACGTTTTGATAGTGGAAGTATTAAATAATAGTTAGTTTTATAAAAATCCTGTATAGATTATTAAATATGCTCTATTTTTTATATAATTTTTTTGAATATGTTGTGTTAAAAAACTAATTGTTGATAATTAAATTCTGTAAAAACTACTAATATTTTATTGTGACGCAACCACTGTAACTGAAGCCGTCAAAAGCACTTTAACGGAAGCATACTAATATATCAAAATATTTAGTAAATTGTTATCTATCATCTAATCAACCTCCTGATTTGGATTCATTTTCCTCATTAAATACACACAGCCACAAACACATTTCCGCGTTAATCTACAACATTGGATTTCTTTACAGATTATTCGATATGCCTTTAATTCATTTTTATGCACATTTCTTAATTCTTAAGAATGTAAATTGTTAAGTATAGTTTTTGGTATAGATTTGGGCACCATAGTCATAGTGAATATCTAGTATGGAATACATCTTTCCAGTTCACCTTAGTATTCGCATAAAAGTGTAAATCTATATGTAGTATCGTATCTATATCGGCAATCATCTGAATATATTGTAGTTCTAACAATAAAATGAAGAATTTAAAGAAAACGCATAGTACTTAAAAACAAACATCAAATATTATAGGGAATATTTCAAAAATTTCAGATTGTGATGTTTATGTTTTTTTTTGTGAGCATTGGCCTAAATATCTGTCAATGAAATAAATATACACAGTTATGTCAATAAAAAAATAGTAATAAAAAAACACAATATAAATCGAATATATTGTTTAACAAGTTAAAAGGAAAGAAAAGTGTATCATACACACACATATTAGGTATTCTATTAGTTTAGTTTTGGTAATATTTTTTTGCTTTGACTTGCTATTCTAATAGTTTAGTTTTGGTTCGAAGATTATCACATTGCGATGTTTTGTCAGCAATAAACTTTTTATGTGTTTTATATTGTGTTCATTAAACCGCAAATGGTCTACAATTCCTTATTTCATATTTCACCTCTTTGTATAAGTTTTTTTATATTCGCTATATCGTACATTTAGAAGATGTTTTCTTCTGCAATACCTGACTTCATTATTTCACCTTTGTACAATTTTTTTGTGTTCGCGTTTTGTATTCTTGATATTTTGTCGATTTCGGCCTCCTTGATGATATCAACGAAATTTTATTAATTTGCCTTGAAAAGAATATAACCTTTAAAAAAATATATTATCATTAAGTTTCACATAAGTTCACATTGATTCCTCATCAAAAATATGAAAAATAGTTCCTAAAAACATGGATATGGAAATACATAGTTTTAAGGTTACAGGATGTTAAAACATTTTAAAATTAGGTGTTTTGTAAATATCTTAAATACCATTATTTTTTTATTTGAAATTGATGTTAGGTTGGACTAACAGTAATAATAACTAATAGTAATAATATTTAATAATAAATTAGGTGAAATATATAGTTTATTAATTTTATTTTAATTTTATTAATTGAGATTGATAAATTTGCGATTATCTCATCGAAGAGGCTGATTTCGACAAAATATCAAGAGATAACTCTTTTATATTCAATTTCTAAATCATTGTCAACCACATCCACGAAATATAATAGATTTTTGAGGATCGCGGTTCAGGTCTTATATTATTTTAAATTTAATTTCTTTTAAAATAAAAACGGCGGTGTTATTATTATATCTTTAACATTATTCATGACTGTTGTCTGAAGAGAAACAAGGTTAAGGTGAATTATACTCGTCAGATATATAAATAGGTTTCTATCAGTTTTAGATTGCGGTATGTATTGAATGTTTGCTGTGTTTATTTAACCAAATTGCCTTATATTCTTCATCAATATTAATAACTTATAGAATAAATTAGGTCCCAATAAAAATAAAACCAATCTTTTGAAATAAAGGTTACACGGCATGCATCAATTTATCTCGCCAAGCAGGTCACGTCGTCCCACAAGCTATTAGAAACCGAAAGCCGCGATTCCAACATAAAACGCTTGCCAGAAAAATCCAGACAACACATAATCGCGGCCTGTTTCAGCGAACAGGAACGACGGCCGACATCGCGGCGCCTGCCTCTCCAGTTTACCCCTCGGGAACATCCCCAATCCCCTAACCTCCAGTCTGGATGGAGCCAGACGTATAGGCTCAATATTTATTAGGTTAGAATGGCTTGTTTCGGGACATTAGGGAGAGGATTAATTTAAGGAAGAGGCTGGATTATAGCTCTCGATATAAAGTTAATTGCTTATTGCATCTTGTAAAAGACGTCTATCTGTTCCATTACTAAATCATTTAGATATTATCTAAACAGGCTATAGTTATCTGTCAGGCAGCAATTTCTGAAACTAACGAAATGTGAAAAGATTTTGTTTATTAATATTTGGTCTGTGATGAATTGTTTATGGAATGAGAAAGATAAATTTGAAAGACTGATATTACTTAAATTAATCGAGTTATTATATTTTAGTGACAAAAAGACTTCTAAATATACGAATTTAACATTAAAGAAAATTAAAAAAACTTTAAAATAAGGTGAAACAATAATGGGATCTATTTCAGGTCATTTGTGGTCCAAGCAGCTCTACAATAAATGGCCAGAAACTCGAGTTATCTACAAAAATGTCATTGAAAACACACAAAAAGCTGTTTTTGTTTCAAGTATCAGTAAATATCTTGAGCAATTCATGTATGCAAATTTCGACAATATGATAACCTCTTATAAAATCTACTAATATGAGCGTTCTCGGCGGGATAACTGAAGCAATTGTCAGCAATTGTCTTGAATGAGAAGTTAAATCCACTGATACACAATACATATGACTGATTTTCTGGTGTCATCAAACAACTTAAATAAAAAGGATAAACCTTATTACACATGATCTGCATCATCATCATTATCATCATTTTTTTATTTAGATACTCTCTTTGTAGTTGGGTCCATTGTTGTCTATTGTTGGCTGTGCGGGCTCAAGTTATCATGGTCCCATCTCAGGATTGGTCTTCTTCTAGGTCTGTTAACTCCTCGTGGGTATCATGCTGTAATTTTTATGGTCTATCCGTTGTCCATTCTTCTAGCCAGGTGTCCTGCCCATTTCCATTTGAATTCTGTAGATGACATCTATTACCTGAATCTTTTGTCATATCCACTCTGTTTTTTACGGTCTTTCTTGGTTATTTCCAGCATATTTCGTTTCATTCAGTGTTATGTGGCCTGCAGTTTCCTTATAATGTCCGTTTTAACTGTCCAGGTTTCGCATGCATAGGTCATGACTGTAGTACACATTGGTCGAATGTTTTCTTCTTTAGATAAAGCATTCTAGATTTGAATATGATAGAGTTTCTTCCATAAGTACTCCATGCTAACTAAATTCTTCTGTTGATTTCTGATAGTAGAGATATATATTTGTATTAGGTACCCGAAATAAATATATTCTTCTACTATTTCTAGTGTTGTGTTATTTATTAGATTATCTTTTTTGTCCACTAGTTCGTTGTATATTACGTTAGGGTACGCACACAAAGCAAGCTGATTAATTAGCGCATAGTTCCATAGAAAACCAGCGGCAGAGCCTGCGTTGAAAATCAGCGCCGAAAATCACAATATGCAAACACACTCAGCGCAGACAACAAGCCACCAAGATACGTTCATTGTGTACTATTGAGACGATTTGTAGACGCTGGTAATAAGCGCATATAATCAGCTTTATTTGTGTCTGTACCCTTAGTTTTTGCTAAATTTATTTTGAGACCTACTTTATGGCTGGCTGTATTTAGTTCGTTAATTTGTCTTTATCGGAATTGAGCTTATCGTACTATTAGGAATATGTCATCAGCGAATCTTATATGGCGAATATTAGATACACCATCCCCAAATTTGTACAAAATTGCATAATTTAATATAATACTGCATCTTTTAAGATGCATTAAGATTGTAATAATCTGCTTTATTTCAATGAGTTATTTAAAAAGTTGCTTTTATGTCTTCTTCTAAAATAAAATAGAAAAATTGGCGCCGGGAGGCACGTATAGCCGCCCATACTAAAATATGTTAATATCTCGAAAACTGCGACTTTGACTGATTTTGATGTTATTACAAATTTTGTTGCAAATATTATTCCTAATCTTAATTTGAAAACCACGTTTCCCTAGCTACTGTAATTTTGGAGATTTTTTAAAATTTTGAACCCCCCCCCCTTACCCCCTTACCAATCCCCCACCCCCACTAAAAACTAATGGCCAGATTCTCGGGTGCCACGGTATTTTTGTGCCAAATTTGGTTAAAATCGGTTCAGCGGTTTTTGAGTTATCGTGTTACAGACGGACAGACGTACAGACAGACAGACAGACAGATACCATGAAAATATTTTGTATTTAGGTCATTTATGACCCAAATAACTCATTTTGAGTGAAATTAAAAAAACTTTTTTTTTGCCGATCCTAATAGCCTACCATACCTATTGGTATGGTTGGCTAAAAATGGAAAAAAATATTCATCACTTGTCTACACCGCCACAAAAATTTATTAAAAAATATTTTAAGTTTTAGAGAAGCAGATATAGAAACAATAAGATGCAGTATTTTTTTAGAGATATTACTCGTAATTGTTAAAAATAATATATCAACCAATAACTAATATTTACTTACGCTCTGTTTATTCTCCACGTTGTGGACGGTGTGCAAATTGATAAATTGGGGTGGTGTAGGCCTTCTATCTTCTCTGGATGGTGATTTGTCAAAAGGCGATCGATCCTCGTGAACAGCCTTCTCGGCCTGATATTCAATTTCACGGTGATGTTTCTCATAATGGTGATGATATTGTTCTTTTTGGTGTTCTTTTTCGTAATATTGCTCGTATTCGTGATCGAAACTCTGTTCTTTTTCGTTGTAGTCTTCAACATAGCCATGGTAGTCCCTAAATTAAAATATTTTATTTGTATATTTTTTTCGAAGAAACATTAAGGAACTTGTACAGGGTACCGATATCTGTTACCGTTTCTGTTACCATAAACCGATATCTGTTACCGTTTCGGAGTTATGGGTTTTTTAAAAAATGTGCATTTTTAACAATTCGCTGTTTTTTTCGCAAAAACATTTTTGCTATGAAAAATTTTGTATTTTTATGAACACATTTCCAAAGCACCTTTTTAGATAAAATTTATTGGTTTACATATAATTTTTTTTAAATTAATAATTTAAGAATTATCAACAGAAAGTTTGATTTTTTATATGGGGCACCCTGTATATTTTTAATTAATTAAAAAGAATTTAAAAGTACCTTTCCAAAAACATAGCATACTTGATATTTTGCTCGATTACTCTTTGAGATATGGAGTTTTTAAAAATTCGGCCAGTTTGAATAAGTAAACCGTTAAATTCGACGTAAAAAGGTGCTTTGGAAATGTTTTCATAAAAATACGAAATTTTCCATAGCAAAAAAGTTACCGCGATTTGTTAAAAATGCACATTTTTGAAAAACATACCGTAACTCCGAAACGGTAACCGATAGCAGTGTGCGGTTTTCACCATCATCTTTTTAATAAAAATTGAGCTCCAGACACCGATATTAGTTTTCGTCTATATCCTATAGAAAAGGGTGCTTCCCTTTAAAAGCGTCAAATTTGACCCACCCTGTACAATGATTATATTGACAAAAATAATCTATAAACAGTATTTAGTATATTAATTTTATCACGTTTAAAATAGAAGTTTATTGAAAGAAATATTATAATTAACATTTCCAAATATCTATCCATATAAAATATATAATCTTGTCATCAACATACTTTCGAAGCTGGTTTAATAATTATTCTGTCTTCGCTTAATGCTCGATCTATAATAATTTGCCAAAATTGATACAAAAACACCATCATTAATTTCCTGACTAAATTTATTTATTTCTCATTTACATATTTGTTATACTTATAGAAAATAGTGGTAATTATTCTTTATACGTACACCTTAAATTTATCCATCAATCTTTTGCATAATTTGTCTTAAATATAAAAGGAAGACGATCCTAGCATGACAGAAAATTGATTTAGGAATGTCATTGAACGTCTAGACGCAGAATAGCATTAATGTCAAAACCATTAAAGGCGCAGTCATTAAGGTTAACTTAAAGGGAACAGAAAGGCTTAAAACAACAAAGTCTGTAAATATTCTCCCGCATCACCTTAATAATATAGAAAAGCCTAGGAGTTTTTATATAAATTTATGTTCATACAGTTCATACATGATAGTTTAATTTTAAGTTATTTTGTGTCATGACAAATATAAATAATTGACAAAAATTTAGATTTAAATAAATAAATCAAAACAGATCAATTTGGAGAAAGAAGTTATCCAGCAAGCTTAATAGAAAATTTAAAGTAATCTTAAGTGATCGATCTTATTAAAAATTTTAAGCAGTAGCATACAATCAAGAAAAAACGGGACCATAAATGACTTGAAAATGAAGATTGCTCCCATTTTATAGGTAAAATTATACAAAAATAGTGAATGTCATCGGTCGTCATTTTCAAGGCCTCTTGGTGTCATTTTTTCAATCATATACGATATATTTGATATGTATTTCTTATAAAAACTTATGTTTAAATAAAAAGCCCAATATATTTGGTAAAAGGTTTTAATTTCATGATGAACACAGAATTTCAGGGACTCTTCACCAGAATACCAATTTATTTAACCAAGTATAGAAGATTATTTTAAAATAAAAATTAAGAAAATAAAAACGTTGTTTTCTGTAAAATGCACTGCGTACAATTAAAACACAAACCAGCTTGTCAGTATTTTTTACTCACAAAAAAGTTGTTTAACAAATAAAAATACTTAAAGCTTCAGGGGGTATATCTCACCCTATCGTCAGAAATAAACAAAGAAAAAAAAACTATTTAAAATTTGTTTTTTAAAGCATTTTTGTTGGTTATGCAAACTTGTCCAAAGACACTGACAAGCTGGGTTCCGTTTAGATTGTACGCAGCGATATTTGACAAAAAAATGTATTTTTTTATGCTTAAATATTATTTGTCGGGCCTTGGGTCGCCTCGACGAGTGTGTACTTTAATGCTGGAAGTACACACTCGGCCGAGGCAACCCGAGGCGCGACAAAAAATTAACGATATGTACATTGTTATTGGCTAGGACCGTTCTTTTTTGTCGCGAGTGTGTAGTTCCAGCATTAGCATTATGCTTAGGCGTGTGTACTGTAATGCTTAAAGTACACACACACACACATTTCAGTATTTATTTCAGTTGCGAAATTTTCGTGATTTTTTCAAGAAATAAAGCAGGCACCAAGGTATAGAGGTTATCTATAAGTTATTTTAGCTTAAATAATTTTTCATTGTTAAAAAAATCATATTACTTTGTGGTATATTGTTCCAAATATTATTTTTCAAAATTAAGTAAGAATTACTATTGCCAGTATACTGAGTCAGATATTAATTTTTATTCATTATAAGTTAAAATTAAATAGTACAAACGTATATAAACAAATAAATGTTAAGTCCTATATAAATACAATTAGCGAGGTTATTGCTTGTACTACTGCAGGTTTAGATTAGATATACTCCTACTTCATGACAAATATTATAATCACATTTTAATTATCTTTAGAGTGTAGAAAAGGCAACTATGTGTTCATAAATACCTATGAATGCCCTGGGAATCGATGAAATGCAACTGATACGTATGCGGAATGCCGTGAGAATCTAAATACTGACGGGAATCTCCACGATGGTCGCCATTTCCGTGCTCTTCCAAGTGAGGGTGGCTGGGAGTATGGGGCAGAATGGGGAAATTCTGGGGAGAATGGGCTGTAAAAGCAAATACGTGCCATAAATATACATCTTTAATATTTGTATGTTATACAGGGTTTCCCATGCTGAGCGTGCATTAGAAGTTTCTAGAGAACTACAATATCTAGATTAGGGATTTTTTGTATATCATTGTTTTACAACGATATCCATCGATTAAACATATTTTGAATATAGCGGCACTTCCGGAAATACCGAAAGTTGACAACAACTTTCTGATTTTAAATGGGTGCCCCCAATTTTATTACATAGTTAAATTCTCTGTAAAATTTTATGAATTTTGATATTAAACACTCTATACCTAACAATAACCTTTTTTGAGAAAAGAAATAAATTTTTTGGACGAAAAAAACTGCCTGTTAAAAGAAATTGTATAGTCTAAAAATCAAATTAAGTGATTACCACAGCCACTGTATAATGGTGATAAGTAAACCGCTTATCACACGACTCTACAAAGGAATTACGTTCTTTGTTCTAAAGTTTATTTTATGATTTTTTGATGACATCCAAAAAATAACACAAAATTGAATGCACAAAACATCCCCCTTTAGAATTTTGACTTATATGTTACGAAATGAAAGTAAAAGAAGCGCACTCCTGGATTTTGTTCGCGTAATAAATTCATGAAATATCGATCTCTATATTTAATTTAATTTTCTTTGAATATTACAGAAACATTTTTTTTTAATTGTAACAAAATAGGTATTTTAAAATTAAAATAAAAAATTGTAATTTATATAATGTGTAATTAAATTTTAATATATCTATTTTGTTACAATAAAAAAATGTTTATGTCAATACACGATCGAACCTTTATAAAAATAAAACAATTATTGATGTTATTATAACATATTAATTAATTACGTTATTTACGTTTACCTTATAAACTTAAAAAAAACGTACAAAACAAGTCGAATCTTTTCCAAATCGCAATTTTTTCGTCAATTAGGAACGCTACACTTCTTCGCAGGTTTGCGTTCTCGGTCGAAAAAAATCCATTGCAATTAAATATGAATAATTAAAATAAAATGTACTTGGCAAAAATAGTACAAATACACACACCAAAAACAAAACACAACGAAATAAAAATATTGACATATTTAAAAAACAAATGAATATTTGTTAACTTTTTAATGACTAGCAGTGCCTCTAGTGTTTGTTCGCACACTACAGCTTTTACTTCCAGCCATTGCCATTACAGAAAATGTTCTAAAGGGGGATATTTTGTCATTGAATGACAAACAACCTTTCAGGTACCGTCAGGTATCCTCTAGTTGGAAACACTTTGGATAAACTCTTATAATAATAAATAAGTAAAGCACATGTCAATTCTAACAACAAAACCAAAAACAAATCTAATAAATTGAATTATTAACTTTATATCTGAGAGTGTAATCTTAATAGAGATAAATTACAAGATAATTTCCATTCTCAATATGAAAATTCGAATTCAATATAGTCCTATGAATTAAGTTTTCAATAATATTGAAAACACTTTATTTGCTTAGTATTTGAATTGGCTGTTTCCATGAAATGGGAACTGAAAATGCAATATATCGTGCAATTTTCCGCATGCAATTTTATCTGATTTCCTTGTCGAGTCGGCGATTAAATTCCAATATTCATACAAGCCGTTGCAACAAATCTGCGGCGCTAACAACAAAACTGTCGTGTTTTTTCGCATAATAATTTATAGTAGCTGTTGTCCCGTAGGGCATTTTGGCCTTAAATATAAATCTGTACTAACATATCTGTTCTACCAAATTGACTAAATTTTAAAATTTAATACAATTATATCTTATTTTAGATGAATGTTACGCTTTCCTCACTTATAATCGTAATACACATAATGTACTTAAATTCAACAATTTCCCAATTATGAAGTTTTAATTTTGAAACGTTAAACAAAAATTTTGTAATTTCCAGGCTTGATATAATCTCATTTTATACATCTATATATCCTAACTTGAAAACTAATGTCAAATAATATTAAGTATCACAGTTTCCGCAGAATGGCATCGTTAAATGAAACCGAACACATCGAAATTAATCAAATAGAATTGTTTAAGTGATATTTTCGAAAGTCAATAACTCGGAAACAGTAGGTTTGAGGGACATTGTCTATTTCGATTTTTGCTTAAAATTGAAGAAAGAACCAAAATATGCAATAATATACAGGGGGTTCCATTTAAAAAAATAAACTTTGATGTGACACGACTTTATGACCGACCCTGTATAGTTAAATTTATTACCCGCTAATAAATATGTAGAAACCCTATAACGTCTGCTTTAACTTTTGCGGTACCTCTGATATTTTACCTAATAATTGATCGTTCCCATACATATCAGCGACCCTGTATAAATATATCAGGTTTAACTCGTAAACTCAGTTTTTTTTAAACTTTAGTACTTGGCTTATTATACAGAGTTAATAGAAGGTTTTATTTTACCCTAACTTTAAAACAGTCTGTGCAACAATTCGTGGACAAATTTTCCTAAAACATTATTTTTCTGTGAGAACCATACTTCCTGAGCACCAAGAAGAAGTTTTGTTTTTTGGTTCATGTCAAAAGATGCATTGGTTAATTTTTAAGCCCGAAAATTTTTCAATATTCGTAACTTTTGATGATATTTTTCAACATGACGAGGTGGCTTTGGTGGTTATTATTGGAACTATACTAATATAATATTATGAACTGGCAACCATGTCCGATAGATCTGAATAATATAGAACATGTTTGGAACATCGCTGGCAGGGGATTAGAGGTCGCGAGTTGGTACCAACTTCATTAAATTAATAAACTTCGCTTGGTCCTTAAATAAGAATGGGAAAACGTAACGCCATATGGTATGGGCAGCCTCATTGATAGTATGAACAGACGTCTTCAGGCAGCTATAGCAGCCAGGAGAGGCAATTCAAAGTATTAGATTATTTTTTACATTTTTTTTTTCTGTTTGTTTACTTGGTTATTAGAATTATATTATCTTTATTATCGTTAGTTCTAATATTATTTTTAAAGTTTATCAAAACCATGGTTGGTATTACAGAATATATAGGTTTGCGTATACAGGGTGGTCCAAACTGTATTCCTGAAACTTCGGAAGCATATTCTGCAGATAAAAATAAGTAAAATTTTTTTATATAAATGTATATCCTAAAATGCTTAGTTTCAGAGATACAGGGTGTAGAAGTTTCATTTTTATTTCGATTTTTTCTAAATAATTTCTGAAGTAACATCAATATTTGGATGAAAATTGGTGTCTGGGAGTTTATTGACATAAGAAATTTGATTTTAATGTCAATATGACTCCTACTAGTAGAGAGCGCCACCTACATGTGTTTTGACTGTTTTGAAGCGCAATAACTTTTTGTCCGTACCTGTATAAAACTACCGAGTGAAAAAATATACATCTCTGTGACATTCTACGTAAAAAATATCTCTTTGTAAAAGTCGCTACGAACAACCGTTTTCAAGATATTTAAAATGGAAATAGTCAATACATGTCATTAGGGGATTTCGGAAACTGTGATCTGATTGATCGGATTGATAGGATTACTAATCCAGACGTTCAAAAAGTGATCTCAAAACGAGTCAATGCGTTCGGAAAGTGATCCGAATAACTCGATTTTTGCCATATGTTGTGATCCTACTAACCCTCCTACGAGGTGGGTAGAATTAATCAGCTGATCATTTCTAGGGTAATTTTAAACGTAACGGTCCGCATAGAAGTATAAAGCTTTTTAATAACCGTTTTGTCCGAAATCACTTTATTTAATGTTGATCAAATACATGATATTTTGTTAGTGACCGTAAAAATGAGCCAATCAGCATATCATCAAGTAACTCTAGATTTTAAATAAATAAAAAACCAACAAGTAATTCTAAAGATACTGACTGCGAAAAGGCACTATCGGAGACACCCAATAGGAAAAAAATGAAAACTGAACTACAGAAAAGTGGTATAAAACATTTAGATTAAAATAGCCAGGCATAATGAAAGAATGGAACTTGATAGACAATTCTGAAAATTTTCATCACAATGGTAGATAAAAATTGATATATTTTTTTATTATTAATATGATGGAATGTTTATTATGTTGGCAGTAAATAAATGATTAAAATAAAGTTTATAGTGTTTTTGTTTTAAATGGCATAATTTTAAAAAAGTCTAAAATAAAACACATTTTGTTTTTATAAAAAATAGTCTTACAGAAACTAAAAAGTATACTTAAAGCAAAACAAATAGGATAAAAATAGATCTTATACAATCGTTAAAGAGGGATATTAAGATTATTTGTTTAATTTATCTCTTTTTACGAAATATATTTAAATGTGATTGTTAACTCGGTTAATCTAATGATCCAACCGTTCGTAATTAAACTACCAGCTGATTACTCCCAGCACTGATCTTGGAACAGCTGATTAGTAAACTACCTAATCTAGGATTTTATTTTCGAAAACCCCTATTATTGACGAAAAATAAACACTTTGAGTAGATAGTTATTTCACTAAAATAATAAATTTGGGAAATTTTTATTTTTTTAAATTAATCATAAATTTTTCTGCAAAAAATGACGATAAAACAGTTTCTGTTAAACTTTTAGCACACAAACATTTTAAATTTATGATTTCAGTGTAGTATCTATTTAAGTCAACATGTTTAATTTATGTCAATGATGACAGATATTGATAATTTCGATTCCAAATATCTCGAAAACCATTACTCCTAGCGATTTTTACCAAGAGACCTTTTTCACGTGGAAAACGTCGTTAGTGTATATTTTTTTACACGGTAGTTTTATACAGGTACGGACGAAAAGTTATTACTCTTCAAACCAGTTAAAAAATATGTAGGTGGCGCCGTCTACTAGTAGGAGTCATATTGATATCAAAATCAAATTTCTCATGTCAAAAAACTCCCAGACACCAATTTTCATCCAAATATTGACATCACTTCAGAAATTATTTGGAAAAAATCGAAATAAAAATGAAACTTTTACAGCCTGTATCTCCGAAATAAGCATTTTAGAACATACATTTATACAAACTTTTTTGCTTATTTTTATCTGCAGAATATGCTGCCGAAGTTTCAAGAGTACAGTTCGGACCACCCTGTATACACAATAGAATCACCAAAGCCGTGTCGTTATATTAAAAAGCTATATCAAAAAGTAATGATAATTGAAAAAATTGCAAATTATTGGTGGCACGTTCACTTCGCTCTACAAATCTCTCAAGATTAATCAAATTATGTTTCGATAGGAGATAAAAATAAAACGTGGTTCTGACCCAAAAATACAGTTTTTTAAAAAAAAATTACGAAATTATTGCACAGGCTGTTGTAAAGTTATTATATTAACCCTGTATAATAAGCCAAATACTAAAGTTTATATAAAACCAATTTTCTAATGAATTCATGAAAATTGAGCTAAAAATAAAAACAAAATTGGCGAAAATTTTTTCCGTTACTTTTCTTTGCAGAAAAATTTTATGTTCAATCTGCATTTCAACATTGCAAATAAATAAATAATCAATATAGATATTTATCATAATTTGTATAAAATATGAAAAAAACTCTTATTCTTTCAACAAAAACCATAAAAGAAAATGAATATTTTTAGTCTCTAATATCTACTTAATCAATGTTGTTCGATATATATTTTGATTAAAAGAAAATATGTAAAAGAGGACAACGCTGTGCTGGTCAAGCTTAATCACGTGACTAAAAGTTTATTTGGCATGATATATAAATTGAAAACTTAGCACATGTATCAAAGCTATTTTTTTCGCAACCGTACCTCATTTTTGTCATAATTCTCTACGGGTTTAGACAATGGGGCATTTAAACAATTCTTTAAATTAACTGAAATTAAGATGTTAATCCATTAAATGCAAGTTCCTGACTTTATAGTTGCTACACCCATAGATATAGAGAAAAAAAATCATATCAAGAATTATTCAAAAATAATTCATTCCTTTCCGATTATGCCAACAAATGTCATAGTTACAGAAAAACTGGATACGAAGACGGAAATATATCTAATACTTGGTAATGTCACATTAGACAAATTTTTGATCTTCTATAGTTGCTAAACCCATATACACTAATTTTTGTCCAGAAAAGTGTTTTAATTTAAAACTCAATATCTTCCAAAAACTCTGAAGGTTACCATGTCCAAAAAATATACCTTAATTACTCCCTTTTAATCCCATAAACGACTTTTGAATCTTGATTTTCGTTGCTAGTATTAGCCTAGGGTGGGAGTCTCCTATACATATTGATTATTCCAAAATAATATTTTTTTGTTTTGAGCTGAGAAACATTATCTATCCTACCTAATAGACATATCTCTCCTAATTTATCATCATGAATTACCCATAAGAGCGAGAGCACGCGTTATCAATTCTTTAGAATAATTCATTTATAAATAAAGATGTTTGTTGATAATTAAATTATGTGCTAAATATTTCTAGTTGTTTTTATTCAAGAGATAAAACTCTGAATTAAAGGATAAACAGTATTTATAATTTTATGCAGCATTATTACGCATTTTCGAGCACTTTGAGAAAACGACAAAAATACGGTTCTAATTTAACATTTTCTTTATAGATTTTTAACTATTTAGTAGATTACTATTTCATAGAGAAAATAACTCTAATTACTTTATACAGTTATTACTACTGAATTTCATAAAATACTGAATAAAATATAACGTTTTATATTCAGGTAATACTCATAGAATCGATAGTATACTACATAAATTAGGAAACCAAATAATTTTCCCACTTACCAAGGAGATCTCTCATTTTTGGTGTATGTGCTTTAGATCCATGCTTCTCCTTCCCATGATGCTCTTTGGTTGAGGCAGGATGTTCAGCTGAATCTTTATGATGTTTTTCGTGTTTTTCATGATGGTCTTTGTGGTGATGCGGGTGCGGTATGTGATGATGGGATGCTTCAACCAGCGTGGGTTGAATATGGGTTACAAATTGGGCCATTACGGATTATAATATTTAATCGTCGGCTAAAATACATCTAAAATCGATCAAACAAACACTTATATAAGTAAAATAAAACAATGTTCATTTTTATTCTCCAAGTAAATAAGCAACATTATTAAAAATAACTTACCTAAAATGTTTATAAACATATTGGATGTTTGTTTTTTTTTCGCATGCGATAACCGATCACACAAAGCGTCCGCGAATTACACCGCTGAGTCGCCTGCCAAAAATTTTAATCGGATTTTGTGATTTAGGGCTGTTGAACTCCGACTATGTTTTGGATTTTTGGAAGAACACCATGCACCGGGCACGATCGCCACTCATCTGAGGCTGTGGACGAGGAAAATACTGGAGATACAGTCAATGAATTTCCCGCCCTGTGATTTTCCAAGACCACCTACCATTTAGAGGCTTAAATAGAACTTGTAAAAATGTAAAAATCGCCAAAAATCACACTTTCATTAATGGAAATATACCAACTAAATATTAAAGAAAAATAAACTGTTGTTCTGTAGGTAAGCATTATTTATTAACGTTTTATTGATTCAATATTAAAAGTTCAACATTTCTATTGCGAAATAGGAAGTCCAGATATTGTCACGAGTCAGCATAGATTATATTATTAATATTAAATACAAAAATCTAAAATCGATACAGTCGTAATTATTCCTTAGATATCATCCTCGGGAGGGAATGTAAATATTGTCTGTTAATTTTTCGCAGTATCTGTTCTGGATGAAGCCTGCTAACATACTCTGTGTCTATATTGTAAATTGAGGATTTAGGCATCCGTTGGCTTCTTAGGTATTGTTAATTATATTTTTATTGAGTTGTGAATTGAATTATAATTTTATTGAATAAGTAAGTTCCGCAGTAATGTTGGAAACACGTGTCTGCGTTTAACGAGTATAAAACGGTATAACGGGCAGGTTTTTACTTATTTTATTTATTCCATCCGCATTAATGTTACTTTGTATATTTTAACCACCAGCAATTACTAGCCTGGTAACAAATGATCAAAAATTAATCTTTATTTATTATGCCTTAAGATTAACTTACTAATTTCCTAAAGAGGTCCCATCTGTCAATTGTGTTTCATAAAAATTATATAGTGTTTTGTTATTTACTGAGATTTAGTTACTATTTCAATAGTATAGTCTCAATACATGTTTACCATAAATATACATAACTACTGTCTTTTTTTATTATTTATATGTGTGTTTGATATAACTTTTATCTTATATGTCGAGCTAAAAAGGGAATACCCACTTCTACCATTTATAAAATATGCATATCTATTCTAATGAAAAAGAATGTGAACGAAAGTTTAGATCAAATTAGTAAATATCAAATAAACTGATAGATCCAAAAATGTGCTATTTAAACTATTGCTAAAACGGGGTTTAATATTAATTACAAGATTTAGATGCATTACTGGTTGATTTATCTATTGCAAGTTATTTAAGTTTCGAATAACAACATTATTGGTATTAGGTGTAGTCTGCAGAGTCAGTAATATCAGTAATCCTCTAGAACTGCAGCTCTTTTATAACCGTTAACGCTAGAACATTCCGAACAGTAGAAAATTAGCCCTTTTTCAACTTTTTCATTTCTTTTAACATTTTAATTTATTAATATGTGAACTATAGGTTTTAGCTACTGTTGCAGGATAAACTTGCCATTTATATAACATAGCAACGTTTAATTAACAAAATATTTTTTCCTACTAATAGTTTATTATTATACCTATAATAATTAATTTATTGTGTTAGTAGTATTTATGTATTTTGCAATGTGGTATGCATCACAAAAAAATTGAAGGGTTCAGGACTCTGCCTTTAAAGGCCTTTTTCATTAATCAATACCGTCTCGCAAAGGCCAAAACTTGTGGAAAGCAGTTTTAACACCCCTTTTCCCACTTCTACTCACTTCTCTATAAGATGCACTCAAAATTGCCTTTCAAAATTCTCAATTTTTTAAAGGCGCTGGTTGTCATGCGGAATTTTCAAAAAAAAACAAAAGTTAAAATTTCTACAAAAAAAAATAATATTATTATAACAGTCCTTAATATTTTGTATAAATTTAAGTAGTATGTTAATATAACTTGTAATTGGAAACATTGATTACAGTTGAGGGTTGGAACCACCAAAACACTTTTACTTTTACACTGGACGCGCGTTTCGCTAACCATGTTAGCATCATCAGCAGATGATTATAAACTCAAAAAGTTTATAAATAGAAAAATAAGTTATAACCAAAAAAAGTTTATAGTCATCTGCTGATGATGCTAACATGGTTAGCGAAATGCGCGTCCAGAGTAAAAGTAAAAGTGTTTTGGTGTATTGTGGTGATTTAGTGTTTTTATTTTGCTGGAAACATTGAACTTGATAACTATTATTTAGGAGCTTCCTCTCCAACTACAACAAACTTTCTTTTATTATTCTAGTGTATCAAAATTACTAAGTAATTATAGTAGGTAATTTAAAACATAATTATAGGACAGTCTTCATTTCTATTACTTTCACTGCACTAATTTGCTTGTTTTAGGTTTTATTATCGGCCTTAAAAATTTAAATATACATTTGCTATAATTCGAATTATTTCTATTCAATGTAATTAACACAATTTCTTGTAATTATTTAACAGACTAAATAAATTAGAATAATTAGTAGGCTACGTAAAGAGATAACACCTAAAACGTTAAGAATTAAATAGTATTATGCGGCAATACTCGAGATGATCATAGAATCAAATTAAGAAATATCAATAATCAGAATCCAAGTACATTGAAAGAAGTGGTAATAAATCGAGTTTCAATTCTTATTATCTATTACTTCAGAAAAAGAGTCAATATGCTTTAAGCTTGGAGTGATAACATTACTAAATAGTATCTATTGGATGTAGCTTGAAGCTAATAAGTAATGAGAAGTAGTAGTGAGTAGTGATCCACCCTATATATTATTCAATTTTTCCTTCGATTCTAAGCTAAAATCGAAATACACACAATATACCTCAAACCAACCATTTCCGCGTTATTGACTTTTGAACATATCACTTAAACAATTCGATTTAATTAATTTCGTTATGTACAGTTTTATTTAATGATACCATTCTGCCAAATCTGTGATAATGTTGTAATAAGTTTTTAAATGCATATTAGCTACTAGTAAATTGAAGTATACAGGGTCGGTCATAAAGTTGTGGCACATTAAATTTTATTCTTTTTTAATGGAACCCCCTGTATATTATTGCATATTATTTCAATGGTTCCTTCAATTTTAAGCACTAATCGTAATATACAATGTACATAAATTGAAGAATTGAAATGCTAAACGAAGATTTTGTAATTTCCAGACTTGATATAATCTCATTTTATACATCTATAAATGCTAACTTGAGAATTAATGCCAAATATTATTAAGTATCACAGTTTCGGCAGAATGGCATCGTTAAATGAAACTGAACATATCGAAATTATTTAAATCAAATTGTTTAAGTGGTATTTTCAAAAGTCAATAACTCGGACACGGTTGGTTTGAGGTACATTGTGTGTATTTCGATTTTTGCTTAGAATTGAGGAAAGAATTGAATTAATCTATTAAAAAAAAAATAAAACTTGATGTGCCACGACTTTATGATTTATTTATTACTCGCTAATAGATATTTAAAAATTCTATATATAACTTTTGTATTTAACTTTTTGCGGTACCTCCTATATTTTAATTAATAATCGACCGTTTCCATACATATCAGCGACTCTGTATATTAGTAAACTTGATCTTAGGCAGATTGACAATCTGTCATATAAAATGGCGACTCATAGCAGCTAAACTACAGCGATACTCCAGCATTACATTCACCGGTGACGGAATACGTGTTGAGCGTGAGGTTGCCAGCATTGGTCCGTTTTATTAGTACATAGATATATTCTGGAAAATCACTTTTGCCATTGAATGATTTTTGTTGATAATGAACTTCTGACCAATTTTAGATAGGGTACCCTACATGATCCTTTACCTCTTTGCATTTTTTGTTTTTATGCTCGTTAATTCGTATATTTGGAAGCCATTTTCACACTGCATTTACAAAATACCTACTAGATGCACTCTGGCTCACTTGCATCACTTTCTCTTGGCTTGATACTTCCGGTCTTTTTTTTGTTAAGACGTTTCTTAGAGTAGTTCCCAACGTAAAAACAGTTTTAATGTTATACTGTTTGCCTCTTTTCATATTGATGTGATCTTTTCTGTTGTTTCTTTTTTAGACGGAATAGCCAAGAGAGAATTTTCAAATCGTTTCCTTGTGTTACCAGTTGTCTAGATGTTGTACTTCTACATACTATCTCTGATAAAAATATTTTCGTAAATCAAAAACATACTCAGTCCCAAGACCAATGCCAATGACTGATAAGTGAATATCTAATTTCTGTAACAGATTTAACGCATACTTCTTCATCTTAAAAATTAATCGTAAATGGAGGGTAAAGATTTTTGTTCCAACTACACAGAATTTGGATTTCCATATTCTTGAATTCAAGAGAATATTTCAATGTGTGATTTATTGATGTGTGATACTTTTAAGTAAATAAATATTTTTATTTATATTTTAATGTATTCGACTTTGATTCATTATCAGCATCAATATCTGTTACTGTTTCGGAGTTACGGGGTGTTTTTCAAAAATGTGCATTTTTAACAAATTGCTGTAACTTTTTTGCTATGAAAAATTTTGTATTTCTATGAAGACATTTCCAAAGCACTTTTTTACGTAGAATTTAATGGTTTAAGTATATTTTTTTTAAAATTAATAATTTAAGAGTCATTAACAGAAAAATTGACTTTTTATTTGGGACACCCTGTATATTTTTAATTAAATGAAAAGAACTTAAAATTAACTTTCCATAAATATAGCACACTTGATATTTTGTTATAATCCTCTTCGAAATACAGAATTTTTAAAAATTTGCCACTTTTAACTAGTAGGCTTTGGATCCCTTATTGATGATCTGCCCTAATGGAACTCGAAAACTTATTTTTTCAGAAAGACGAGGTACCGCCTCAGAACGCTGAAGTTATTGGCAAATTTTTGCAGCCAATTTCGAGAATAATTAAATAACTAACCAAGGTCCCAAGGTTAGGTTAGGGATCTAATCCTACGGATATCTTTGAGGAAGTATAAAGGTTCTTATTTTTTAAATTGTCCATATAATCTAGTTAAGAATTAGAAGTACTTAGCGGTTATGCGAGGGTATCTTTCGCCCCCACGGACTTGAATTGAATTCCGCGAGAAATATTCAATAACGGCCCCGTCTGTCCATAACGGAAGATGTCGAACACCTGCAGCGAAATCTCATGTGTCGGTTTGCTATTTATTTTTATTATTATTAGATATAGTTTAAACGTATTGATGTTGGTAAAATATAGTTTAAATTGTTATAAAATTCTGCATCTCTCATTGCAAATATTATTTTCGTTTTAATTGCTGCTCACCGGCTAGATTTTTTTTACATTAGAGCCGGCGCCGTTCTACGCCTACTTATTCAAAGTGGGCGAATTTTAATAAACTCTATATCTCGAAGAGCAATGGAGCAAAATATCAAGTGTGCTATATTTTTAAAAAGGTAATTTTAAATTATTTTCAATGAGTTAAAAATAGGCAGGGTGTCCCATTTAAAAAATTAAATTTTCTGTTGATAATTTTTAAATTATTAATTTTAAAAAAATATACTTAAACCATTAAATTCTGCGTAAAAAGATGCTTTGGGAAGGTTTTCATAAAAATGATAAATTTTCCATAACAAAAAAGTTACAGCCGTTTGTTAAAAATGCATATTTTTGAAAAACACCCTGTAACTCCGAAACGGTAACAGGTATCGATGTGCGGTTTTCACCATCATGTTTTTGACAAAAATTGAGCTCCGGACACCGATATTAGTTTTCGTCTATCTCTTATAGAAAAGGGTGTTTCCATTTAAAAGCGTCAAATTTGACCCACCCTGTAGTTGTTGCATACTTTTAAGAAAATATAGATTTTTATTTAAATTCTAATGTATTCTTCTTTGATTCATTATATCTTCTAAAAATCTACCCTTTGAAATGTTAAGTTATTATTTGTTGCACTAGTAAATATGTGTATATGTAAGAAACAACTCTGAAATGTATCAATATGGTTTTAATAACGGTTAACCTTTTACATAAAACAGAACATAGGTACATCAAGACCGTTAATTACGTTATTTATTTTTAATTAGTAATTTGCCATCGCATCTGTCATAACTTCGTCCCGTCCATCCACAGGCCGCCTAAATATTTTCATAAATATTAAATATTCGAATCGATAAATAAAGTTTTCCTGCCGCTTGGCGGCAATCACTTGACTTATTTTGAATTTTATTACATTCGTGGTTGACGTCTCGCTTTATCTTATCGGCCGTAATTTTGCCATTATTCTGTTTTAACAATTTCTCTCCCACATTATTCGATTCAAAACAACGATTTACGCTCGACACACGTTCATTTGCAGCTCCATTTATTATTTGTAACTTTATGAGTAATAAATTGTAAAGTGACTTGTGGGAAATATACGGTGTTAATGATGGATAGTTATGTCTTTGGTGTCAATAGTGTACTGTGGTGATGATTAGTGTCATGTGTGATATCATTTGATTGGGGAGTTGTAGGTATTGATTAATAATTATTCATAAATATCTTTGAAATGTTTATGGGTGTTTCTCCAGAAAGATTATTTTTTCTTGTCTCTGTATTTTAATTATTTACCTTAAAAAAGTATACTATTTTTTTTTGCACAGGAGTAACAGTAAATGTATTTTTAAAAAAATGCAGAGGATAGCTCGGTATCAAAAAATATTATTAACATTTTTTTAAGCTCAAGTACGAAAACGGCTGTCACCAACAAAAAATTCTCTAAGTTTATGACTACAAAACATGTTTTATTCCAAATAAATACTAAATAATATATGATTAAGTTACTAAAAATAAGTGAAAACTAATTAACATTTCTGGTTTTACAAAAAGAATAATGTTTTTTTTTTCATTATACGCCTTTACATTTTGTCACCATAATCTAACGTCAGTCCTCTGGTTCAAAGTTATTGTTCCTTAAATTTCAACTAGATGTCACTAATATATTTTATTAAACCTTTGAATAAGAAGACTAAGGAAGGAGCATATCAAAAATCTTAGGTACACCGCGATGGGCCTCAAATATGGCCGACTTAAATTCCGGTTTATCAGTGCCGTTCTAATTTTATTTAAAAAATGTAAAACTATGATGTAGGGTAGACGTAGGGTAGACTCAATAATTTTTGTTTTATTTTACGTTGTGAATAAATGTTGGTACATAGTTATTAAAATTGTTATAAAAATAAAAATAAAATTCTAATAAAAATAGATAAGTTATAATAATTATTTATTTACAAACACAAATATCCGATACGCTACTGAACTGAAGCAGGTAAGTCTAATTGATGTATCTAAATTCTTTGACATCTAATCTTTGACAAGTAGTAAATAAAAGCAAAAATGCAAGAAAAAATATATAATTAGTTAATTTAAGTGAATTTCATAAATGATCGGTTTACGACACGTATATATATTATATAGTCACTTCCTAGCGAAAAGTTGTTCCATTATTTCACTCGATTTTTGCCGAGATCTACCGCACGCTACACAACCAACTATTTTAGAGTCTTTTTCGATAAATCGCGATAGTGTTACTGTTAATTTAAGTGCTGCCACAATTTCCATCTAGATTTACTACCTTTATACAACTATCAGTAGTAGAATAAATAATAAATAACATAAATTAAGCTCCGTAAAGACTGACAAATCCATAAAATTTCAAATCAAATTCAAATGTGTCAAATGAATCATCAAACAGAACTGTCAAGGATCCCCACCCTAGAGTGCTTTTATGACGCTTTTTCCGCCCACCATGCATGAATACATGGATAGCATTATGCTCCTTCCTTAGTCTTCTTATTCAAAGTATTAAACGAAAGGAAATCATTATTGTGTTTGTTTTGTATCTATGGTAACATAAACAAACTATTTGTTAATAAATTTGTGCTATTAAACAATTTGTGTTTAGATACAAGGTGTCACAGTTTAGGAATCAGTCCTCTGGTAAGTGTTTTTATATTTTTTGAAAATAATATTAATGCTATTTTTAAGTTTAAAGATTATAATTGCTAGGCTGAACATTAGTAATGAACTATTTAAGCTTATGAAAGTAATTCACGTGCTATTTAAAGAGGACAAATTTTAAATTAGTCATTCCTCAGGCATCATTCCTCTGGAAATAAAAATACCAGAGGAATGACGATATCCCAGAGGAATGTTTCTTACCTCAATACTTTAATACCCCATTTTTCTTATCACGAATATAGTAAATATTGATTAATGTAGGGCACATAGATATTTATTATTGAATATGACATTATTTTTAGATTAAACATGGCGAGAACGAGACGGAAACAACCAGATAGTCGCGAAGAGAAATTGAGAAAGAAAAGAGACGCAGAAAAAAGAAGATACGAACGTATGAAAGAGGTTCCTTAGAAGAAAATTATAAGCCTTCACAAACTCTACCCAAAAATTTCCAAGTTTACTTGGAATTATTATGAGACTGGGCACGGTATAGGAGCCTCAGATGGCATTGGGGGTGTCACTAAAAGGACTGCTGATAGGCTAGTAGCCGAAGTAAAAGATACTGGTTCCTTTGAAGGCCCTAGTAACACATCTTAAAGGGAACATAATAAAAGTGACATATTTTACAATAACGAAACAAGATATTGATGGAATCGAAAACATTATTAAAAACGAAAGCAAAAATATAAAGCCTTTTGTTGGCACAATAAAAGTGCATCAAATTACGATGGATGATTTTTTTTTTTTCATTAAGCAGTTTTGAGACAAAAAACGTTAACTTTCTATTGGGTCGAATACAGTATTAGGGGTAGTATTGTGGAGAAACACCCTTATAACCTTTTTTATTATTAATATAATATACAGGGCGAGTCTTAAATAAGTACAATTATTTTCAGGGCTGGTAGATTTCGATAAAAGGAACATATTTTTTCTTTATCGCTTTTCAAATAAATCTAAAACTAAAAAAATTTCCAAATTTTTTTCAAAAAATTCGAAATTTTCAATTTTGTTTTTTTTTCGGTCGAAATATACTACCCCTAAAAATATTTGCACTTATTTAAGACTCACCCTGCATATAATACAATGTGTCCAATTATACGGTGGACATTCAAAAGTGCTTCGTTTGTCTGCTAGAGGGCATTAAACTTTAAAAAAATTAACGCATTTTTTCAGATATTTTAAGAACCTTTCTTGATTGTTTTGAACCGATTTTGAGACCGATTTGAACCGAAAAAAAATTTGGGTGTTTATGTTTTGCCTTAATAATAAGTAAGTGCCTTAATATTTGACTTTCATAAAAATGAAGAAAAAGTACGGGAAGGGTTGGGTTGGGTTTATTAATTTTAAGGGGAAACTACTTTTTGGGGGGTTATTAATTTTAGTATTAGTGAAATCATAAAATGTAAAGGAATTTTTAAGAAATTAATCTCCTGATTTCTCTAATACCACCTAATACTAAAATCGATGCATCGGAACCTTTAAACGAAAATATCTTAAAAACCGCTCACTGTTTTGACCTAAACGAAGAGCACCTTTTTTACATAAAAAAGTACTAGCTTTAAGAAATCAAAGTACCCTTTCATGGCTATTACGGAATTTTACACCATCGCTATTTGCTTTGGAATTAAAATATGTTTAAGGGTACCAAATTTAAAAAAAAACGGTTTACCAATATTCTTAAAAATAAACGAAATATATTTTTTTTGAGCTATAACTTCTGCTGGTAGCATTTTAGGGCATATGTTCATAAGAACTTTGATTTATTTTTATCTGTAGAATCCCCACTGAAGTTAGATACACTATTTTTTTGACACCCTGTATATTGTATTCTATCAGATAAACAATTAATTGGTCTTCAGCTATGTTTAAAAGTTTTAATGCAAACGTTTATTATTTATTATTTAGATATTTAAAAGCTTTTTTTAGATATATACATAGATAATATACTGTCTTCTGCATAAATACAAAATCCTCGCTTAAAAAACATTAAACCGAGCAAATAAAGAAATGAAACATTAAAATATAAAGACAGTAGAAATAAATATCACATAATGATTATAATAAAAAAAATTACACTAAAATATAGAATAGAGAAATAATAAATAATTAATAGAAATAATTATAAGCAATAAATAAAAATTTCGGAACTTTTCTCCCATTAAATTATAATTATTTGCAGTAATGTTCCGCGTGGTTTACAAAAAAATAATTGAAAACATGAAAATATAATATTATAATATATAAAATATAATAATATTATTATTTTTGTCTTTATAATATATTAAAATAAACCCGGTACCTTGGACAGTTTGAGAAACTAGTAAAAATCTAATTAATTTTGCGACAATTATACAGAGTCTCCCCAACATTTTCGGTATATTACCAGTAAAACTAAACATTTGAAAATTAAAACATCTTTTTGAGTATAAAGCCATTGGGTTCCAAAATTCATTGAGACAATTCTTTGAGATATTTTCTTACTGGCTCGTAAATATTAATTAGTTTATCCATAATACAATTCTCATATTTTAAATTTATTTTTCTCTGTTTAGTGCTAAGGCTCTTGCGAAAATCCTTAATTTACTTGATTCTTTTATGTATAAACAAACAAATATTGCAAAGAAATTCGCGTTTATTTACCCATCGTGTAGTATAAAATAAAAAAAATAAAAATGCCTCCTGCAATAATAACTAATATTTATAACACAATATATAATTTTAGTGTCAACATCTAGAAACATATTAAAATATCCAACGGTATATTTTCATTCCGTGATTTTATTAACATAAGTATTAATTTATAGTTCAGTGCATTTATCAAAAAGTGATAAATCTTTATCTCTCTATTTCATTAAATAAATATAATACTTAAATCGAATCTTTTTTCACTTCCAGGCCTAGGTAATTCATATGACTATTTATTTTTCAATCAAATACCTAGATTTTATTAAATATTCAAGTTTCCCACTCAACTAAAATTTTGCCCTACTTATACCTACAGTACCTTTGTAATATCTAAAGGTACCTACAGGATTTACTTATCAACCAAGTCATTTTAATAATCTATAATACCATCCTTAAATAAACATTATATTCCCTTTATCACAATTAATCAGATGATTAATATGTTTTGTTTTGCACTGTCAAAAACTATGATTAATGTTTGTTTTGCTATGTACTGTCAAAGAAAAAACATTACATATTACCCTTGTTTATATATTCTTAATTACACTGCAAAATTTTTTAACGTACTTAATTATTTTAAAAACATAAATTGAAATTTTTTACGTACCTAAATTGAATTATTTATTTTATCGATAAATGATAAAATATTTATGAAATATTAAAAGTCATCAAATATTACGTGTTAAAAAACGATTATTTTTTAAAATTTTGATGCTTGTTGTTTTTTCAAAAATATAGTAAAATAAAGTACCTCAATGCAGCAAAATACTTTTACTTTAAACACTGTACAGGTGTTTTACTATACATATAGAGCAGATATTAGTAT